AAAATATAATCGATTTTTGTATTTTTAAATTTATCTATACAAATTTCTGTGATCCATCAATGTGTAACTTCTTTACGGACATATTAGAGACACGACTCTATTTAGCAGTCACAATTCATATGTATATGTGTTAGAATGATTCACTGAAAATGTCTGTAAAGTTATATTAACATAACTATTTCATTCTTATTCGCACATTTGAATATTATGCAAGGATCTAGTAAATCTAGAAATAAATAAATGCAAATATAATAAACGCTTTCACACCGATATAAACAATGTATTTTATTATAATTTAAAAATATATTGACGTCTTGTCAAGAACTATAATCATTTCGTACTGCAGACTACAGAACACTTGGCAATTGAAGCTTAAGTAACATTCTTTACTTGCTATAAGATTAAGAGCTCAATATAGTGATGTATGTATTTATATTCGTATAATTATACAGTACACAAAGTACAATTTTTATGTCGTATCTGGAAAATCTTTAGTGATTCGTTAAACCAATAAACCAAGTCGAACTCACCCTGCTCCGTACTACTCGGTACCACGCTTTTAACGTCCATAATATATATTTTTAAATTCTGAATTAAATAATTTACAATAACTTAAAAACTCAGCAACTTACTGATCATTTCAAAACAGTTCGCTAATTATAATATAATTATAAAATTAATTGAAATCGACTGAATGTGCCTCTTACATTATTGTACAACGATAGTAAAATGAATGAATAGTGTTTATCACAATTGTTCTATCATTTCTAATTTCTAATTTTAGAAACAACTAAGCAATTGAATCAGCCAGATTCTAGAAACGTAAACTTAATGCCACATAACCATTACTCAAGTTCAAGTTCCATTACGCAAGTTCATCGCCTTGCTCATTTCACTGGATCTTTGGATGTCAAGAAATCTAATCAAGGTTGACTTTGTTGTCCTTACATAGCTTATTTTAATAGCTATTATAGTAGTCCCACGCTAACTTGAAGTCAATCACCAAGTCTGATAGTCTTACTAAATTCCACCTTTTGTAATGCTTCTAAAATAGAAAATTAACACGTCTTTTAGAGTTTAACCTCTTCTATATAATTTACTTAGTTAACAACTTCAGCTATGCGTATATGTAAACCCCACAGTTATTAATTTATTTAAAAAGATATAACAATTAAAAATAACGAAAGATCAATAATTTTACTATAATTCACTACAGTCTCTTCTTACTACTTTTTAGCCATTAACAAGGGCTATTAACCATAGTTTAAGATACCTTCCGGATTTCGTTAAAGGGTATGTCGATGGATATAATGGCATGGTTTATGTAAAGTATATCCAAACTGCTGTCATTTTTATTTTCTGATTTCATACTCCGTGTCTCGTACACCTACGGGTCTATAAAATAAAGCATTTGAAGCATTTATTGAATAAAACTTTTTGAAATCAATTAAACGAAGTTTTTGTTTAACAGCGAGATTATGGGTGGAACGCGGGTTTTAATTTGCTTATGCGAACTGTTAAAAAAATTACCAGGTCCTTAATTTTAATCTGTATCTTGATATAGGGGCTTTTTAAAGCACTATATTTAAGCTCCGTCTGTCTGGAACATGGACGATTGTAATATCGCTAATGTATCGATCGCTTTCTCAATTGTGGGTACACAAATCAGAATGTGAAAACCATCGATCATCATCATCGACATTTGATGTTTTATCAAGAAAATGAAGATTCTATTATTCTTGCAATAGTTCAAAAAATAAGTGCACTTTATAGTACAGTAGATCGTTTAGGTCACTGTGTATTATTGCTATCTTTTTATACTTGACACTTGTATTTGAAATTTAACAGGCGATGACACCAAACTCAGGAATGAATGCCTACATTACTCTCCATCATATAAACATTCCAACGAAGTTATTATGTGTTATTATGTGTATTTTTTATCTACATTCTTCTCAATTATATCGTTTGACTGAGAATATTTCAAAAAATATTAAATTTTTTAAAAATAGTTTCATGTTATAATATTAAATCTAAACAAATAAACTTAAGATATGTTTAAAAAAAATTTAATGTTTGCCATTGACAAATCAAATATTTATAGTAGGAACCGCGTTCGAGCGATCTGTGTACACACGAATCAGTTGTTTGGAACTCTACACATTCAAATACGTAATGAACACATATTTAAATATATATACTACGAGTTTACGAACAAATATCTTCATGAATTCAAATCTATATTAAAATACTCATATCACATTCCAAATACGTAAGAAGAGTCGGGAAAGTTAGCTTAGTGCGTTTTTTAAATGCTTTTCTTCTTTCAATAAAATTTCCGTAAATTGAAAATGTTCAACAAGCAAGAATATAGAACATTCCGATAAGCTTTTTGGAAATCAAGTCATACAAAATACTGTAAAAAAAATGTTTTCTTGTCAACTACTAGTCGTCACATACACTCGTAAGTTTACTATCTGTAAGGTTTACTATCTGCGATAAATAAGTTGGGCCAAGTTATCATTATGAAAAAAATTGTCAATAACCCAGTTTCACAAAGCAGTAGTTCGATTGGCAACTCGAAGTGGTTGTGCCTGAAACATTCTGCGATCAAAGAACGATTCGAGCGGATTTCACCGGATTGATTTTGACGACAAGTTCAAGTTCTAAAGCGGTATATTGCTAAAGTTGTTGCAATCAAAAAAGAATGGCGTGTGTTCTGGTTGACCTTACAATTATAGTTGACTTTTTCGTAATCGTTTTAAAAATTTAATCAAAAAATTTTTTCATGCAGACTATTTTAGAAAAATCCAGTAGCCATAACTCACAAGAATAAGAGATGTCACAATGCAATATACATGATAGTGACCTTAAAAAAGGGTAAAACTGAATAATATATGAAGGTTAGATTTGTCTTCCAAATCTTAAAACGAAAACTGGACCATATTATTAATTTCTTCAAGCAACTGGAAATGAAGAGGATTTCTTTAATATTGTATTGTAATAGTACACAAACAAAAACAAATAATCAAATTACTAATCAGTTTATATTTATAATCTTATGAAAAGTATTTTGTATGTGACATGTATGTGAAGTATTCTGTTGAGAGAATAAAAGAAATGAATACTAGTAAATGTAGAGCGTTTTCGAATAGCAAGAAAGAAAGGACAAACACATAAATTTATTTAATTTTATTGAAATTTGGCTGACCATAAACCCTGTTTCGAGTATTGCCAAGTATTAATATCAGTGGTCTTAGGAAATAATCGATGAATACTTGGCAATATTCTAAATTTTAAATATAAGAAGCTATATTCATAAATATCACCATATAAAGAAAGCGTAGTTTTTCCAGCAACAACAATACATATTTTAAAAAATACTAGTAAATATTTAAAATTGTTATTTAGTTTTAATTTGGGAAATATTATTCGATTTGAGTATATAGAAGTAAGCAGTAATTATTATGGTAATAAATAGTCGAACACAGCAATAGTTATTACTTTAACACGAATTTTGAGTGATAAAATCACATCTTTTGGTGTTATTGATAATTTAATGACTTTTGTGAAAAAGAAATATGACAGGTCAGAGTTTTGAGTTCTTGTAGTTTTACATGGTAAACTGCCTAGGTGACTTAATACCATGGTACTCTCAATAGAAATAACAAGGTAATGCGTTTCATTGGAATAAATTCCACGGGCAACAATAGAAGTTATACGTTTAGACAATGGTTTCTCCTTGATGAAGAACGAGGCATATATACACCAATGCCAAACTTTGAAGCGCAGCACCTATTAAAAAAAATGCAACTCTACATTAAGTAAAAGCATATATGCAAACATTGTCCCTGTATAATTTTAACAACAGCCATTACAATACTCCAATACGGGGCCAACCCAGTATTCAGAACAACCGTGGGTACCGAAATCTCGAGATACCGGGTATATGTCACTGGTCAGATATCGCAAGTGTGACCCACCCTAGTTATACCCTAACACTGTACAGGAAGGTGCGTAATGGATTTTAATCGTCTCTTACGACAAGCCTGTCCGAATCTCTAACCCGAAGCAAGCTCTGAGATATAATGTGGGGCATTTGTATTGATATATTGGATTGTATTTTTTATCTAACTGCTAATTCTATAACCGAGCCAAACTGAAAAGTTTAGTTCATTAGACTCTAGATTCCATAACGTTAAAAATGCGATCCAATATATTTAAAAAAAAAATTAAATATAACTAACGAATTTACGAAAACACATACAATCGAAAAGAAAAAGAAATGGAAACTTAACCTTCGAAGCAGTACACCAGCGTTCCAACTCTCTAACTTCATTATATAAAAACGATTATATAAAAACCACTGCTAACTGTTGAAAAAAGTTACAGTTTAAGATTCCAAAGTGTTTTCTGTAGAAAATACGGTGAGTAGTCGTATAAATTTAATATGGTTTCCAATACTCACAGAATATGAAGAAATTAATGAAGTAAATAAATGAATATAAGACCTGAGATATCGGCATGACATATAAAATTTTAGGCTCCGTTATGAAAACAGTTATAGCTATTAGTTTCATACAAACTCGATTAAGATGCATTTTACGGATCAGACACACTCAATTAAAAAACGCATTTCGAAGCTTAACTGCAAAGTTACGCTGCTCTACTATAAGCAGCTTAACATATTCGCCCCCCTTCTCACCTACACTTTCCCTATTTGGTCAGCAATCACTTCCGCTCAGATGGAAAGAATCCGTCTCTGACCTTTACAACAACGCCAAAATCACTCGCGTTGGCGGGTACCTTTGGACACTTGCCCTTGAAGTCTCCATTCCTAATACCCTCCCTGAAGACCTTGTTCAAGTCTTGCGCTTTGAACTCCTTCAATACCCATTCCATTACTTTCATGATCCTGGTTACAAAGTTCACCGTTAATCTCACCCCCACTTTCTAGCCGAAATCCCACCCCCTTCAATATCTTCCATTCTCCCTAATTCATGCCCATGCTTTCTGGCTTAGATGAATCTAGTCCACTAGATATTAAATCTATCTGCTCTCATCTCTCTCTGCTGATTACTGGAATGAAATTTCCACATTGCTGTGAAAATCTTCTTCATTCATTCCTAAGAGGTGGATTAAGTGGGTTCAAGTCTCACACTGCATTTCAGCGTTTTTTTTTTGACTCGAAGAAACTGTGTGTAAGTTTTTACTATTAACCTAAGATTTCACAAATAGCTTATTTTAGTTCTTTTTAAATACTAATACTGTTTAAAAAGTGCACATTCTGCAATCAAGTTCAAATTTAATGCTAATGGATTTTAGTCGCCTCTTGTAACATGCCTGCCTTACCACGAAAATATTGTAATCCCTAACCCAATGTTCTGAGATATAATGGTAGATATTTTATATCCTCTTTCGTTAAGGTGTGTTTTATTTTTATAATGCCCGACTTCTTTAAATCTTTAAAAGTTCTGATATATATCATCAAATTTATTTTGACAATTTTAAATATTTATCTTTAATGACTAGCGTTTCTCAGTTTTACCTTGGAACTATTTAGTGCTCTATTAAATTTAATGTGGACATAGACTATCCTTCAATATTAATTTGCCTTAAATGTAACTTATGATTAAAAGTTTTCAATATTAATTTCAGTTTTAATTTTAGTTTCTGATAAATACACAAATTTAATTGAAGGCACTGCGAAGCGTAATTCAGTGTCTTTTAAAATAAATAAGTATTGAATAAAAAATATCTACTGCCAGAAAGAATTGTGGTATGGAACCTGTTAAATTGTTAATTGAATTCCCAAATGAAATATCTCAAAAATTTTCCACTTGCATGTGTTTAGCAAGACATGATTTATGGGTGAAAATTTATATCTCTTTTTGTCTAACAAGTTGTGGAGACAAAATTTATTGGCATAAATT